CTTCTTAGATTAGATATTTATAATTCGATTTATATTGTTTGAAAATTAAGCTTTGCGAACCTATAATCATAAAACGAAGGCGAGAAACGAGAGTAAATTTCATACATCAATAGAGAGGAGTTTGACCTCTCAAGAAAATCTAATGACCAGGCTTAGTTTTGTAATTAGTTGAATCAACAGATTATAAACTTGCTAGTTTATAATCCTTAGCTTCTGTACGTGTCAGGACTCTCATTAATGTTCATATGTAACAAGTTGAATCTTGAAAGTTCTCAAGTTTGTCGATTGAAGAACCAACAAAGTGACAGTCAGCTTTATTGTCACGTTCTTTATAACATCTAAATATCGCTCTTTGCGTGATCACAAGGTTCATGCTCTTTTGATACTCAGTTAGTCTACTCGTTATTACCAATCTTACCGTTTTTTGTTCGGATTCATTCATTGTTTATTTTTCGCTAAACAACTTGATTCACAAAGCTAATGAGCTACTTGTAGATCTTTAGAGTAACGCAACAAAGAGTCATGAGGAATATGAAGTGTACACTTCAAGTGATTTGTGCAAGCATGTCGAGCACTTGTTTTTAATCATCTTCAGGCCGGGGCTAGCCAGCGAATCACTGGAACTCAATGTCAGCAGAAACTCAACTGATGTGGCCTGATGAAGAAAATATTTTTAATCCTGATCATTTATTGCTGATTTTATCATTTTACCAAAAAGGGGAATATCATACGCTCGGCCTTATCCTGATCTTGCAATGTTACGCAATCGATTATAATAGCGCATTTTGTCTTAACATTGCTCAAAACATTTCAAGAAATATATCTTAGATCAACTCACCGATAAAAGCAAGATAATTTGTAGGTCTTCTCTTTATACTCATATACCTATTTGGTGTTTTCTTTGACTTGATTTACGGTACCAAAGCCTTACGGGGGTTGTTATTCCCTCTACTAATATAAACGTGTAATTTTGTCAGAGGGATGTCGCGCGAGAAATTAATTCGAGTATTAGGCACGCTACGGATTGCCAAATCTAATTTGGTAAAAGGAGATTGTAGATGTGGTGCTTTATTAGGATTGATATCTCTGATAGAAAATCAGACTGCATTGGAAATGTTTATCCCATGAAAGACCGGTTTTGCCAATCTTACGACAAAAAAAAAAACAATGCTGTATTGACGCATTTGTAATCGAGTGTTTTCTGTCGCCTCTGAGATAAAACCAACATTGATTAGTGCTAAATTCGGAAGTACTCACCACAGATAAATGATCAAATTTTGCCTTTGGAATTTTTCTTTGGGATAAAACGAAAACAAAGAATATTAAGTATTTCGCAGAATAACGAAAATATTCAGCTTGCCATGAATTTTATGAGATGAATGTGAAGGGTAAGTTTAATTATGCATGTTCCGTTTCATTTGTTCGTTGCCGAACTTACGCACCTTGAGTTTCAAAAATATAGTTCCACCAGCCCATATTAATCGGATTTAAAATATTGAGTATTCTTTTTCTGTAGGAAATAAATTCATACGAAAGAATGTACAATGTAAACTTCTGCGATTTTATTTGATAGAACATCATGGCTAATTTTAGCATGTTTTGTTATGTACAGTATGTACACTTTTTTCGCCACAAAGAAATATTTTCCCCTCTTCAAGGGTACAAAACATTAGCAAAAAAGATGGTAAGTCAAAATTATATACATAGAAAGTCACTCTGTATTTGGATTAACATTGTTATGAAGCTAATTAGTCCAGCATCGTCTCTATCATAATAATTTACGTCTCTGAAATAAATAAATTATTTAGCATGATTGGTTCCTCTAGATTTTCTTTTTCTTGTCAACACCTTGTAAATCAGTCTCTTTCTCAGCAGCAAACTTTTTCCTCAACTTGTTCGAAAAATCAGTTCACTGCATTTTAATTAAGTCGTTCAAAGGTCTTTCTCACAAGATGTCTTGAAACGGTTCTTCTCGATTTCCGCGGCTCACTTCATCCCACAAAACACAAATTTTCTCATACAATGAATGTAGGAGAAGGTAAAATGATAAAAAACCGGCGTTATTCACCTCAGTGCTCCTGGGCTGTTGTGTTTTCTCTTCAACGGAACGGTATCTCTGCGAATATTTTACACCAGTACGAGTAACTTGTGTAAGTGTTGACTTCTTGTCAATTCTTATTTCAATTGACAAAACCATTTTTGACGAGAAGAATGAAAATCATTTCTATTTGTCAAAGTGTTCGACAAAAACTAGAAACTCATTTAATAATTTTTCAAGCGTTAGTAACTGGAATTTTATATTATCATTGAAACTCTGTTGTCACGTTTCTTTCTAAGAATCTCGTACCCGGAAGAACCTCCTACTGGTGTAGAAACTAATTATAAACACAAGCAGTGAAACATCTGTCTCGTACTGAAATGAATCGTGTATTGGTATGAGAAAGGACATGTTGACACCTCCTAAATTTGCCAGCTGAAAAACGTGAATAACCGTCTCCGTTTCCTCACTCCTTCGAGCTCGTACTTCTTGATTCAAATTGTCTCCAATGTTAGCAAGCAATCTTCCTACTTCTCTCGTTGGTGTTTGTTCAACTTGCATATCACTTCCAGAGGGTTCGTCCCCAGAGTTGTCTTTGTGTCCTTCTGTGAGCATTTTAGATGTGTTGTAGAATCTGCTTATACCAAGCACTTTTCTGTCGCTTCAGTCCTTTGATAAAAGAAGTGATGAAAAAAGTTATAGTTGTTCGTCTTTGAGCAAGTTAGTTATGAAGTCGTGTCCGAAAGTGAAGCGCAGATGTAATGAAAGGCTTAACAAATTGCGTAGTAAGTTGTGCGTCAATGATAAAATCCACGAAATTTTCATTACAACAGGAAGTTCACGGATTAAAATTCTCTAAATGGCCATGACACAGGGTTTCGTCATTTTCAAGATAATATTGCTTTACTGACTTATAACTACTACGCGCTTATTTCAGTCTTGGAAAAAAATCAACCTGTTTGTGTATTCTGTTATTTTTGTATGTTATGTTTTAGGGGTGCTCCTGTGGATGGAAAAATATGTCGTGAACTCTGCCTGTGTGTACGTGAAATAACTTCATTAAAGTTTACTTCGTCGCAGAAACAGGTTGTAATACAATGATCATAAAATAAAACACGTAGGGAGAGAACACGCCCTTTTGGGCCAAGGTCGTACACGTTCTCTCTTTTAACTTCGCAGTCACGAAGTTTTGTCGCGCAACTTTAATATTTCAAAACAAAGATATATTGTTTTAGATGTTATCTACATTTTTGGAAAAGAAATTCGATTTTCAAAAGCAAGAAAAAACAGTAAAGTTAGTTTGGAAAACTGAAGCCATTGAGATTCTAATCTTCCAGGAAAGTAAAACTTCGTAATTGTAAAGCTCTTCATCCAATTTGCGAGTTTTTACATAGGAAACAAATTGAAGAAGCTAACAATAAAATTTTGGGCTGTCATGTCTAAATTTTTTACTGTCTTAGTGTAGTTACCGTACATAGGTAAAAAACAGTATTTTTAAAAAGATTGGATATAGATATTTTCTTCGACACACCTGTTGAAATTCTCTGCGTGTTACTGCTACCTGCCTCCAGGCTAGTTTGAAGCAATTTGTTTTCTGAGCAAGCTAGTAGTGACACTTGTTACAATATCAGTGACCTTCACGTGAGAGTCAAGCTTTTCAGCTTTTTGTATTGTAAACCAATGTTACCGGACTATTGTTTCTCGGCGAAAGCTTGGCACCAAAACCGCTGGGAGAAAACCGAAGCAGTCAACTTTGCATACAATTCTATTGTGACAAAATAAATGCTGAGCGCCACAAAGTCGCAAACATTTTGTAAACACTCCATGTCACCCTCTTTAGGAATAAAAACACTCACGTAAATTCGTAATCCCTCTAGATTTGTCATGGCTTGTCTTATTAATTTACATGTTATTTAACATTTTCGCGGGTAAATAAATAGTTTCTTTACCTCAGTTCCACACTTTTCCAAAAACACCTCGCTTTAAAAAAATTGCTTGCATTTGATTACGAAAATTGTTTTGATTCGTAACTGACCTTAATTAGTATGCTTTCAGTTTCGGGTGTAAAACTATCGTAGTCCTGTAGCTACATTCCTCTGGCGACATGATTTCATTTTGTCCCGTGCAATGTAGTTTATCCATACAACAGCTTTACAAATTGTTGAGTCACATCACGTGCCAGCTCGTGCTTCTCACTACTGATGTGAAATGTTTTTCGAGACTATCAATCAGCTGTGTATATCAACATAGAAAGTGGTGTTGTTTCTTTTTTCCGGTTCTACCTGGCACAATCACAATTTTACGGGCTTTACCGCTGATGAGGCATCTGCTTTCTGTCTGCTATTGTTTCGAAAATATGATGACCAAGCACATTATAACCATAATTAAAGTTCAAGATTTCTTTTTGTTTTATTTTAAATCTATTTCCTCCTCTCTGTTCAAAATTCAAATAACTAAACAACTCACAAGATTAGCTTTATTTATTGACAATTAAATTAATTTCCTGGAGCCTTTCAGTTTGGACACGAAATTGATTCATTTATTATCAAGGACGAACTTCCAATTGATTAGAGTTTTAGAAGTAAGTTTAGTAAAGTAGACAGTCCTGATAGAGAATTCCTTTTCCAAATTTTTTTATAGAGGATAATTTTTTACGACATTTTAATCGCAAGTTGAATAATGGCTCGCCTAAAATACATGTTTCCACTAATCTGCCAGTTGTTAAATTATTTATGCAAAAAAAAAAATCGTGACTCATCATTAGTAGGTTTACCTCTAGTTTCGACTGGAACGCCGTGTACGTCATGTGTATTTATATCGATGGCGACAAAATGTCGTGTTATTTCGAATAGGAAATGTGCCGATCGTCGAGAAAATACTTCACAATAAGAAAAATGATTAAAATACACCGAGTTCGAATGTAAATAAACCCGAACTGAATAATGTGACTCCTTACTAGTCATTTTTGTAGTTGGATCTCCAGTACGTGCCTTTCAGGAATGAGATCATCTCTTTTGCCTCAGGAAATAAGTAACATGCACCTTGAATACAAAATAAATCACTGTTTGAGAGCCAACAATTTTCGTCTGTTGGCTTACATTTAATAATCGACACAGTACAGCTCACCAATTGTGCGAAATCGTGAATAAGGATATTTGACTGTAAGCCTTGTTGTGATGAAGCTGCGTTTCCATCTTGACTAAACGAGTTACCTTCTCTCAAATATTTAAAGCTAGGCGATTGTTTGCCTGTATCTTCGTAAAATTCATATAATGAAGTTCAAATACATGTAAGGCTCTCGGAGAGAATTTTCCGCAATGAAGCTATATAGGGTTGCCAACCTCGAAATACTCATTACATCGGAAGTAATTGCGTGAAAGTGATCATCAAAATTTAATTAAAGCGGGACCGAATTATACTTTGTATCAGCGAAAAAAAAATCACATCGAAGGTGGTTTCCTTTCGGCTATTTTTCTTTGTCGTCCGGTAGTTGGATCCAGTACACAGCCCCTGTAAACATCTGACTGCATGTTTTAATACAGTTCTGCTTTTGTAGGGAATCAGATCAGTCTTAAATGGACCTTACCACAGTTGAATGCGAAACCTTCATTTTCAGCTACGCAATGTCGAATAATATATTCCCTCCAAATAAATGAATTGTAAAACGAATGATGGTAAATTATAAAACCAAAAACATACAAGGAAGTCACTCGCGGGTCTTTCTTGTTGGGGTCCAGTGTTCTTCCTTTGAGTGCGAGTTGTCACATGAGTCATCACGTGATGTAGCGTCTTGCATAAATTTGTCATCTTTTCCTATCTCACGCACGAGGCAGCACTTTGGCGATTGTTCAGTCTTTTCTCTCAAAATGACTCGTGTTTTCATCGGGAGATTGGCAATGAATGCCCGAGAAAGCGATGTGGAAAAATTTCTTCGAGGATACGGTAAATTAAAAGACATAAGCTTGAAAAGAGGATACGGATTTGTGGTAAGAGAGAGGGCGAATTTGTTTATTCTTGTAGGAGAAAGCTAAGTACGAGCATTTGAATAGTCTGCACTTCTAGACTTTATGATTTTTCGATGTAGGAGTTTGATGATCATCGAGATGCTGATGATGCGATTGCAGATTTGAATGGCAAGGAACTGCTGGGAGAATAGTGAGTGAAGTAACGAAAGTTTTTTAGCTAAATGTAAATTCAGAAATTAGGCTAAATAATTCATAAGCAACGAAATCAACCTTGTCAGATATTACATAGTACCTCGTAGATGTAACGACTTTATTACTGCAGTTCTTTTTTGTTTTACGGTAGAGAACATATAATCCTGTCTAATTTAAAGATGGGTTACAGTCTTAAAGTACACCACGAAAGTCATTTTCTTTGATTTGGCTTTTATCCAGCCACCTGCAAATAGGCATATATCACGAAGCTGAATTTTCGCCAAAATACGTAGGGTCCCATGGCCTATTCTTGAAAGAAACCGATCAATAATGAAACGAAACACAACGATACCGATGAACTCTTTATGTTGCTTCAAGACTTATGTGTTATTAGGTATCACTTTGCCCACACACCACTTTCACTTTGGCAGGGGCCATATTTCTGCTTCTTGTGATCCAATTAAGATTACCTCTAAGAATCTAAAGCTGAAGTAACTTTTACGTGTTTTTATTTTTTTTCAGTGTTGCATTAGAGTTGGCCAGAGGAAAGAGGAGTGGTGGTGGTGGTGGGCGCGGTGGAGGAAGAGGTGGAGGGGGCTATGGTGGTCGCAGACCTGTTTGGCTGGACAAGTATTACGAATATTTTTAAGACACTTTTTTATCCCAAATATAATTACTGTATTTATTTTGTTAGTTTTGTTTAAAACTGGTGAGACTTTAAATTTATACAAATTTCTTTTATTTTGTCCCTACTGGGGGTCAAGGTATGGGCCTCCAGTAAGAACACAATACCGTGTTATCGTGGAAAACATGTCAAGTCGTACAAGTTGGCAGGTACTTGTTATTACCTAGGTGCATTGTATGTTTTATGAGTATAGAGTTGCATTGAAATCAAATCTGAGTAAATGTGAAATTGGAATTAACATCTGGAGATTCTTGTCACAATGTTGGGAAAGGATCTTCTCCAATTATTCCTCCATGGTGAAAATTTTGCTTTCCCTTTTCAATCACTATATTATACTTTACTTGACTTTAATTGTTTATGTAATTGTGTAATTTGCTATCCTATTGTTGTATTTTCATTGTATAATAATATACCTTATGAATTTTAAGAATGAACAAATGAAGGGTTTGATATAAAATACCAGGTATTTGTTTAAAGGACCTGTTGATTTGATATAGATGGTTTGTTTTTCCTACAAAAGTTTTGTCAGGGATTGACAGCAGGCAATTAGTTTATGGAGAAGAGATTCCCAATTTAGTATTTTTTCGTTTGTTTGTTGACAGGGCGTTAAGGATTAAGCGCTTGATATTCACTAAGCAAAGGTTACAAATGATGTTGGATCTTTTCCTAAACTGAGGGAGGTTCCCTTTGCGTGTCACTGCCTTGCGATGGTTGTGAAAGCTTGCAAATTAACGATGTGAAGTGACTTAATGTGATATGGGTACAGTGATTGATGAGAAGTCTGCTTGTCATCTCTGAAGATACTAAACTAAATCTGTGATATGTGAGAATTTGAAGAGAGATGTATTGTATTGTACACTCAGGTAAGATGGAGGGAAGGCCACTGTCTTCCCTTTCTGGGTTTCAATCCAAAAGAGTTAGCCAATCATTCTCTGCTGTTTAAGAGTGAAAGGTGATTGGTAACTTTGATCGCTGTAAAAGAGTCAGGATGAGTGACAGTTTTTTGTTATTAAATTATGACAAATTAATATTTGTTTCTGATTTCTTGAGAACGTCATCAGAATTCTTGCAAACAATTAAACAGTGTGTTCACCAGTATAAGGAAATTATTGGTTACCCTATGAGCAGAGTCTTCCTTCACCTCCTCCAAAGAAATAGAAGGTTCTTTTTGGAGGAGGTAGAAGACAACTCTGCTAGCAAGATGGTTATATGTGTAACCTTATTTAATTGTTCAAGGAAAAGAGTAGTTTAACACAATACTTTTATTTGTTAGTCATGGTTGCCACAAATCATAAAATGGCTGGTGAGAAATTCTTCATTGAGGAACAATCTTGAATATTACATGTTAGATCTTTGGAAACTTTTCTCATTGGGGAGATCGCAAAGTCTTTGAATATTAGAGAAAATGATTTGTGTGGCAAACATGTTAGACCTTGTATTTGTTTCTTTCGAGCTAGACTGTCATTGAATCACTAACATTCTCTTGTCTGATTATCTGTTAGGATCTGAAAGACCACCTTCGCCAGGTCAGCAATGCAAGACTAACTTATGCTGATGCACATAAAAAGAGAGTTGGAGAAGGGTGAGGATTTTTAAAATAAGATTTACAGTATTTTTTTGGTTATAGGGCGTAGCACTTTTTCAAAGAAATTTTGCCTGATCACCCTTGAACTGTCTCAGATTTGGGTGCATCTTATAGCTAAGTATTTTCATGCAATGAAATTGGAGAATGTCCTATTTTCTAATTTAAAAAACAAAAGATAAATAAATAAGTAAAAGGCTAGGAATATTGGTTATTAACTTTACTTGACTTGGTGGTTCTGAAAAGAATCATTTATTCATACTTAAAGAAACAAATTCAAAAAATCAAGGTATGTCTTATAACTGTGAGTGTATAACCAGAAAAAAAATACGGTATTCAACAAAATATTTGAGGATTAATAGCAATGTAGCAAAGTTTGCATAAAATTTACCAAAGTTGAATATTCATTAAAACATTAGTGAACGTGTGTACTGAAACTTTTGAATGTTTTCACAGATGTGTAGAATTTGAGAGTCGTGAGGACATGCTGGATTGCCTTAGGAAAGCTGATGATACAGAACTTGGAGGCAAAAGGATTCGCCTTGTTGAAGTGAGTGTGCGAGTCTTTTCAAGAGGATGTTCATTATATTCCTTCATCATTTTTGATTAGAATTCGTTGGCATTAAATACACAAGGTGAACACTTTATGCATGCATTGTATGAGTATGTCACCTGGCCAGCATCCCTTGTGGCCTGAACTAACAATTTTTTTTAATCTTGAGAAATTTTTGCTCACTATAATGTTAATAACATGTATAGTGTTAATAACGTGTATAATTCTTACTTGATCAATTTCAGTGCATGCCCTTTTCAAATTAGCTGATGAACTACTTCTAGATTTGTGCAACCATTATATGTTTGAAATGAAAATAGAAGGTAAAACATTGTTTCTCTTTCACAGGATAAAGGCCATCATAGCTCCCCTCCGAGACGCAGTAGTTACAGAAAGAGCTCTCACTCAAGGTCTCGCTCAAGGTCCCGTTCACGATCTCGATCTCGTTCTCGCTCCCGATCACCGAAGAAGCGTTCAAGGTAACTTATGTTGTATTGTCGAACACAAGTTGAATGTACAAGTAGGAAGAGTGGGTCAAGAAAAGGGGTGACTTGTGCTCATTACAATCTTTGTGTTTTATGTAGCTGAACAATTGTAGTTAGTATTATATGAAAAATAATGTTATCAGAAATGCACTGTTTTTTTATTGTTCATTTAACTGTTTGATCCATAGGTCTTACTCTCGCTCCAGAAGTCGCTCTGCATCAAGGTCCCCAGCCCGTGCAACAAAGCATTCACGAACACCTTCAAGGTCTCCTGAGCCAGCAAGGGCTGCATCACCTGACGAAAGACGCGACGAAAGACGCGATGAAAGACGTGAAGAAAGTGACGATTGATTTTCATCTTTGGTTTAAGTTTACATAGGCTACTTTTGAACCAGTGTTCGTTCAAAATACATCTTATAGAAAACTGTCCATTGAACAATTTTTTGAAGTTTTTAGTGATTGCAAATATACCACATTTGTTAGAGATTTTTTCTTGTGTGTGGGCTTGAATGTCTGAACCAAACACAGAATAGAAGTTCATAGTGGAAGAGTTTATGTAAAGTTCCCTCTACTCTAATCAATGTCAGTATCTAATAGAGATTTTCAGTCGAATACAGTTTTGATGATCAAAATTGTGTTATATTTAGAAATTTTGTACTGTTTGCATTTGATTTAATTGTGTTGTCTAGTATATTAAAGGAAACACTCATCATGTAAAACAAGTTGTTAGAGGTCATTTGAGTGACCACTCTGATATAATGGAAAGCTGTAATTCTGTTGTTTTAAAATAAAATCTTAACCAGATTTGATCCTATCTTGAAAGATTATGGCTTAATGTCATACATGTACCTTGCATGTCTGTTTGTCCCAGTTTTACTTGGCATCACTTATCAGAATGCCACCTCCTAAGTACATCTACATGAATATGACAAGTGCACAGCAATATCATTCCACAATTGGCATCCTGCTAAGTCTACAAGCTATCATCCTTTTCACCATTCCCAGGGAGGTAGAAATCTTGTAAAAATAATATTTTCTACACTACATTCTTCTGCTTTAAAACCCAAAGCATTGGCAGGCACTTTTTAATGAAGTACTGGAGTATTCATTTGCAAACAATACTGCAGGCCTAGTTTAATAAATCATGGACTTCAAATTTACTATTTGGGTAAATAGTTGCTGAATATAACAGAGAAGAACAAAACACTTAATACTGTCAAAGAGTTTTATTCAAAGTCTGCATTCTCTGGCTTCATGCTTAACTTAGATTTACTCTCAGTAAGAGCAGCAAAAATTACATGTAATGATCTAGAGAATCTCATTTAAAGTGGTATTAAATACTAACAGTGACTCATCACCTGATAAGCACACTTCTCTGTAAAGTATTTAGGAAAAAGTTGTTGATGTTTCCAACATTATCAAAGTCCCATCATTAACTTATATCTTAGATGTTTTGACAACTCAACTATACATTTTCATGTTTTGTGTTTTATTAACCTCAGATTTCAAACTTAATTTATTTAAAAATAGTAGAGTATCAATGCATCTGGTTGTGCCTTCACAAATTCTAATTATCGGCCTCAGTTGTGAATTCCAACATAAAACTCCCTCTCTAACCACTCAAAATCCAATTTTAAATTCTCCTTTTCAATTGCTATACATTCCTTAGTTTCAGTTGCCAGAATTGGGTTTACATCAATTAAGACCTTGTGCTTGTTCACTGGAAATGTCTTTCAAGGGTCCATCAAAGATTTTAGCTCACAGTAAGTACAATTGGCTAAAGTGTGCCAGGTGACTAAACATGCCCCTGCTAAAACTGGGAAATGTCTATTAATATTTGTCAATATTCAACAATTAATAAGGCAAAAAAGTCCTCTGCAAATAGTTGACTGAGCACATTTCATTTAAGGTGGTTTGAAAAGTATTTGAAGGATAATAAGCACAATGGCTTTCTCTGGGCTTGACATGTTGCATGTATATTTGCCCTTGGACATTTGCACCTTGAAGCTCACAGTTTCCTCAAGCTCTGCTTTCATAAAATTGTTCACTTCTTGGAACAGACAATGTCCATGACCAAATATCACAAAAAAATTTTCACACCAAATGGAGGTTAATATTTAGATATTTTAAAGAGATGATAGATTGCTTATTGAACACATCTGAAACTCAACCTCTCAGCTTAAAAAGAAGAGTGACACAAATCTAGATATTGGGAGTACAAGGTAAAGTGAGAGTAAATGATTCCTGGCTAATCACTTTGGTTGTGTTAATTGGTTCTGTTAACTGAGGGCTGTGTATGGGTAAATTGATTAATTAATCATCTTGTCATGATGTGGCAACTTGTTTCAGTGGCTGCTCGAGGTATTCAGCTAACGCTTCTGCCTGTTCAAACACAAAATAAACTTTACTGTAAAAAAATTAAGTTAAATTTAAACCTGTACTAACTGGTCTATTTCTTTTGTTCACAATTAAATGTAGTGGGCATTTAACAGAAGTTATATTGACAATACCTTTGCTTTGAGCATTCCTAGTCCTACAGATTGTTGTGCATAAAGACAAAGGATTAGATTAGCCACCCTTGTGATGACAACTTTTCCCTCCTTAACAAAAAAGAAAACATCAATTATTACAAACTCAACTAATGAGCATAACCATTCAATTCTAGTCTTGAAGTAAGACATTCAGTATTAAAGGAATCTCCTAAACCTGTCATAGTTCTACCATAGAACTACTGAATCAACAGATGTGCAACATTTATCTTAACATGATGGCACGTATACAGAAAAACAGGAGTTGATGTGTGAAGTTCTTTGGTAGAATTGCCTTATTTTATTAAATCATGGACTTGCAAATTTATTATTTGGTAGATAGTGCCTGGAGAAAATAACGGAAAAGAACAAAACTCTCAATACTATCTAAGAGTTTTATTCAAAGTCTGCAGACTCTGGCTTGACACTTACTTTGCATTGCTTTCAGTAAGAACAGCAAAAATTACACTTGCAATGATCTGGAGATTCTCACTTTGAGTACTGATGTGACTCACATCACCTGAGAGGCACATCTCTATGTAAAGTATTAATTCTCTAAGAAAAAGTTGTTGATGTTTCCCTTAGATTTGGTGTGGTTAACATGAGGTGCAATCAGGAAAATGCAAAGTATTCTTTCAAATCCAGTGGCCCATATCACTAGAAAAGTGTTCTCTTGAAACTTTTTAGCAGCCAGGCATAAAAAAACAACACCAGATAAAATGCATTTCAGATCAAAACAGGTAATTTATTGTTATGTAAACTAGCAGGTGCCTCAGAAACCAAAGGCTGGTGCATCTCCCATGAGCTAAATGTTAGCTGATAAAAAAAATTGCGAATGTCTATATTGACATGTGTATACTTGCAACCACTACTAAGCACTTTTTAACATATTTGCACCTGACTCTAAGTAAGAGGCCAAACAGCCAAAAGTTAGAAAGTATACATGAACAGGCTAGTTGGTATAAGATAAAGTGAACAGATACAAACCTCGCAATCCATGAAGATCATTTTAAGCTCATCACTATGGAAGGCCATTTTTCCATTCTTTTCATATGCTGCCCATATACTAGATGCAATGGCTGCTGTCACTTTAGCATCCTTATCACCTGATCCAGCATATGATAACAGTGAGCCCTCTTGGTTGATAAGTCTAAGGGGGATATTTTTACAATAAAGTAAGCAACATACACAATTGTCTACTTGTGAATAGTTAGGTAAATAAATAAACAAACAAATAAATTGGATAAATTGTATTTGGTAAAATTTTCCATTTAAAAATTTGTTGTAAACCAGTAGGGTGTAGTATGGTTCATACATTTTCGTTTGACTTGTTTAAAGTGATTTAGTTAAAAGATACATCCAGGCACTGACACCAGAGTATAGATAAGCACAAGTAACAGTCATCTCATGTTGCCAAGCATTATTGGGATGTACACTGTTTTGACCCAAAAGATTTGCCCATCACGTGAATAATTAATTAGAAAATGAAATCAGTCCTGATGTTCAATGAGACTGATTTAGAGTAAAACTAACAGTGCCATATACATTGTAGCAACTATCTCTGACAGTTTTTCGTATCATTGTAAACTAAACTGAAAAAAAAAAGGATAATGGTGCTGCCAAATTTTTATTTTTGGTTCAGTTTTAATTACTAATGTAACATTTGGTCCTTTGGAAATTCTGTTGAAGGTTTTCTGTGGAAGAACTAGCAAAGATTAATTAATAGAAACTGTTTATTTAGTAACACTCAGGATAAACATATATGTGGTAACTGCTAAGTTCGAAGCAAACTCGCTTTATTTTACTTTCATACCTCGTGTGATCATCAAATCGTTACCTTCCATGACACGTGATTTCTGAACCATTCTCTGAGTTTAATGGTCATGAATAGGTCGCTCTTTCATTACACTGATGTGCATGCAAGCCTTCACATGTGATTTATAGCATGTAACGTTTAACGATGAGTAAGTGTTATAGCAATCGAGTTTAATAACCAGCATTATATTCGTCCATCATCCTTAGAGTGTTCTTTACCCTTCATGAAGAATCTTCATTACCTTTAGCGGTTGAACTCAGTGTTTAGGGGTCAATCTTTAGGTGTAGAAAAGCTTTATCTGGAAGACTTACAGTGAGCTGATGACTCCTCCACTGATTGCCTGGCCCAAGATTTCAGTGAGAACTTTCGGCTTTAGCATCCTTACGGTTTGAGATTACGGTAACTCTACTCCACGTTTATCACTGAGTACATAAACATGTGACATTTACCGGCTCAGACATTCATTTAACTATCTGTAACCCACTGATCTGCGAAGGAAATCTCTACACATCACGTGCCTTTCCGACTTTTCCGAGCATTGCGTCACGTATCCGTCAGTTAGTGTGGCATTCAATTAGAACCAGTGTCCAGTCCTTCACTGATATCCACACGAAGTACAACAACTGGGACTGCTGAAAACTGATTTGGAAATATTAGAAAAGTTTGATTTACCAACAGTTAACATTCACTCGCAAAGCTTTCTAAACGATTTAATACTAAAGTGACTTAAAGATAAATCGACCTAATGGAGAAGAAAGCCCACGCAAAACAATAAAATGCTCGCAACAGCATTAAAATGACTTAATTGAGGAAGACCTTAGCATGCTGTACAATTTAGTATCGAGAAAAACTAACCATCGATGACATCCTATTTTTAACAGTACATATGCATTTTCAAACTCTGTATAGAGAAGATTCATTACACTAAACTTAATGGAAATCTGCATTCATTTCAGAGACAGGGTACACAAGTCAGGTTATTTTGAGTCAGCTAAAATTTCAAGCAGGATTTTGTAAGTGTCCAGAAGAGAATCGATTGCATAATGAAAATTATCGTTGCCGTGATGGTTTCTCGGGAACTGATCTGTTGTGGCAGAGGCATTTTCTCTACCAATGATTCAGTAAATAGTTTAAAGCCAGAAATGTTTTTCGGGCGGAGTGACCGTTCGCGGTCTTCGCGTTCAAATAGTCCTGAGGGACAGTTCTCTTAATTACCCTTAGCTGAGGCTCCATATCCGCCTTTATCTCGTATCTTGTTCTCGAAACTTCCTTCGGCCACGGAGTGCAGACTTATTTCCTGCACAGCGGCTGCCTACCTTTTGAACAGACCGATAATACCTCTTTCATGTTGGAGGGTAGCCTGCGCTGCTGGCGGTCTGCGATTTTGGGGGCGGAGAGAACAAAAAATTCCTTTTTCTCTCCGCCTCCCAAATCGCAGACCGCCAGCAACGCAGGCTAGGTGGAGGGCAT